CAAGTGTCTGGGGAGAGGGAGGTCTGGGTCTCTGCTGAGGCTGCTGCCCCCGAGACCTGACCCTGGGTAAGAGGAAGAAAACAGACGGACAGAAGGAACAGCACTGTGGACATCTGCCCATAATCACACACACACAGCAAGGGACACTTGAGAAAAGGCACCAGCAGCTTTTAATTCATGTTATTTGTTTAAAATGATTGTTTTGTCTGAGGCCAGTTGTTAAAAGAGCTAGATCAACAGCTGGTTTAATCCTATTCAGCTGATTTTCATGCCTTTTTTTTCTAGAACCGCCGTTAACAAAAAAATAAGTTTCCCCAACTATCCACCACTAATTATTGTTGTTTATATACTTATTTGAGCTTTGAGAGGGTAGAGGGAGGATTTATAATAATTTATGACACGCTACAGCTTCACCCACCAACCCACTGCCTCACATCATTTTGAAGCTACACACGGCACGGTTTAAATTCAGGCTCTTATTTTGAAGTGAAGACGGTTTCCTTTACTTCGTCCTTTACCCAGAATGCATCAGTTCTCCAATAAACAGTTAAAAATTACTAATGTATTGCATGCTTTCTTACCGAAGCCCTACTGTAAACACAAGAAAAAGTCCACAACAACTTTTTATTTTAACACCTGAGTCAAATGTTTCTTTCTATAAATCACTTCCTCAAACTGTGACGAAATGCGGTATGGGTTGAAAGCAATTAGTTTCGCCACTAGTTGGCAGCATTGTGCAAGAATGTCTCAAGTTTTTACTGGAAATATTTATTCTGGTGAATTGAGCCAATTTTGCAGATCTATTTAGCTTCTGCTAACATGACACATGTCATGTTTATGACATGTGTGCTTTAGAACTTGCGGAACTAAAGAAAATAAGTAGCGCTTTAGACTTTGCGGGACTAACTTTTGAATTAGCACTGCCCACTACTGCATGTGACCTAATCAGCATAATTACTCAGGCATAGTTCTCAGGCAAAAGAAACCCTTCAAGAATACTGAGTTTATCACTGATAGCATAGAATGCTGGATAATGTCCCACCTACTAATAAAAAGCTTTCTGTTTCAAATCTCTCCATGGTGGAGTAGGAGAATAACTAAATAAAACAAAAACTACTAAGTAGCAATAAGCACTAGTGTCTATTGCAATAAATGTTCAGAACTGATTTATACAGTTATTAATACGTCACTTCATCAAAGACAGGTTCTGATTTTAGATGTCATCTTAAAACACATTTGTACTCAGTGGATTTTATTAACGGTTGACTTACTCGCATTACTTTTTATCAATATCTGTAATTGGAGAAAACAAGTCAAAGGGGTTTTTGAATGTAGAGGTAACCCTGGTGAAAAAAAATTTTCTATTGTTTATTTTCTTTGTCTTTGATTTTATTTTTTTACACTTATAAGAAGAAAATCATTTTAAAGTGTTTTTATTTTCTTTAAGTGAATGGGACAAAGTCCTATACATATATGTTATCTCATTTAATCNGTTGTTGTTGTTGTTGTTGTTGTTGTTGTTGTTGTTGTTGTTGTTGTTGTTGTTGTTGTTGTTGTTGTTGTTGTTGTTGTTGTTGTTGTTGTTACAAAATCTGTGGTGTCAACTTGGTGTTTGACCAATGACTGATGCTTGGTCTCAGTTTCTACAGCAAATGTCACATCGCACAGCTGTGTAAATACTAACATCTGGTGACCAGTGGCAGATCTAGGATTTT